CAAATACAACAACCCAGAGGATTTGCTGCCGCCATGTCTGAAGCGCTTGACAAACTGGAGCAGCAGGAGGCGGAGAAGAAGGTTGAACGTGCGGCAGTGGCTGAACAATTGAAAGACACTAAACGTCAAAAACGAGAACTGAAGCGGAGAAAGTGGGTCGACTGGAAGACACAAGATGAACAGGCGGGTGATACAAAGCGCCCAGCATTTGATCCAGCAGATCGTGTGAAGCGAAAAAAATGCGCAATATTGTTAAGCTACTGTGGTGCCAATTACTTTGGCATGCAGCGCAATCCGGGCATGCAAACCATTGAGGAGGAGTTGTTCAAAGCTATGTTAAAACATAAGTGGATTACAGAGGAAAGTTTTGAGGCAGCACAAGCGGCATGCTTTCAGCGTGCCGCACGCACCGATAAAGGGGTGTCTGCGGCGAGACAAGTGTGCTCGATAAAATTGCGTAAGTTTGGAAGGTTTGAGCACATTTGAATATCGATTTGCAGTTGCTTATATGTATGTACATGCACATTTCACCTTTTAGCCGATACGTTGGACATCAAAGCTTTAAATGAAGATTTGCCGGAGCAAATACGTTTGTTTGCAGTAGAGCGCGTTACCAAAGGCTTCAATGCGAAAGACCAGTGCAACGCACGTACCTACACATACACACTGCCATCCGTTGCGTTTGCTGATTGTGGGCAAAAACACGTTTTTGAGTCATACCGTATTGAGCCTGCTCAGCATCTAAAGATAGGAGAGGTGCTGAAGCTGTACGAAGGCACCAAAAATTTTCACAATTTCACAAGCCGGAAGTAAGTGATTTTGGCAATTGCTGCTTTAAACGTTGATACATGCTTATTTATTTTATTTTCAGAAACTTTTTGGATCCTTCTGCCAAACGCTTCATTATGTCATTTAGTTGCTCCGAACCATTTGTAACGCCACAAGGCATTGAATTTCTAACGCTCAAAGTTAAGGGACAAAGTTTCATGCTTCATCAAATTCGGAAAATGGTTGGTTTGGCGATAGCAATTGCACGTGGTAATACCACGACAGCTACATTGGATCGCGCGCTAACTGAAGAACGGTTAGATTTGCCGATGGCACCAGGTTTGGGCCTTGTTTTAGACACAGTGCACTATGAACGCTATAATGATCGTTATGGCGGCGATGGCATTCATGAACCACTGACTTGGACTAAACAAGAGGATGAAATTAAAGAATTCATAGAACGTTATATTAACGCAAATATATACGAGACAGAATATAAGGAGCGGTCAATGTTGGAATGGTTAGAGACATTACCGCTGCATTCGTACGATGCGCGACGTGATGATACCACAAACAACGATGATAGTGGGAAAAAGCAAAACGACGATGACGATGAATAATAATTACAATTTCTCAGAAAACTAAAATTTCCGCCAAATACATATGTATGTATGTATATTAAAGACTACATATACTTGGTACTAAAAAATAGAATAGTAAGTATGGAAAGTGTTGGCATTGAATAAATACCACAAATTTGAAGAGCTTTTATATAATTTATTTCCAGCTTATTCTCGATGCAAATGCATTTTGCTTTATATATCCTCTACTGTTGTAATATTCAAGCACAATAACTTAGAAAATATTAAAAGCATGCTTTAAAAAATTCCCCGAATAGCTTAAAGTATGCTAGCGTGGCATAGGGTTTAGAAACGTCCACCCTTCTTCTTTTTATGACCACCCTTGCGATGCTGCTGACGTGGTCCTGGTGTCGGTTCTTGGTAGACAGGGGTGGCGGGAGAATTTTTGCTAAGATTGGCACGATTCGACATATCACTGAAAAATAAATAACCTTATGCATTCACGAAAAATCAAAAAAGCATTAAGCCAACTTACTATTGATCAGCAGCGCCACTAGCCATACCCTGTGAACCCTTAATAATATCCTTTGCACGACGATCACGCTTCTTACGGAAACCAGTACGTTCATATTTGGGCAACCAGCGCTCTGGATCTGGTGGCACCTCGGCGTTGTAGTTTTTGGGCAGTTTACCTTTGCGTTTGCGGTTGCGGCTCTTCTTTTTCTCGACAACTGGCGTGCCAGGGGATTGGTCGATTTTAGCATTCGCTGTCTTCTTTGCTGCTTTTGTAGACATCACCCAATTGGCCGCCTCTAACGCATCGATTTCGGAGGCAGTAGTAAGTGTTTCAAGTTTCGGTAGACGTTTACTCAATTCCAAGGCACGTTTTGGATTGAATTGTGCATATGCAATAACCAACTGTGCCAATACTTTCATATCATTGGCATTTAACTTGAGTAGCTCTTCAAGTGAACTGGCTGCTGTTTCAGATGCACCGCCACGTAAGTGGAATTCTGCAGCTTGGCGCCACATATCGCTCAAATCGCCACTGCTTACCTGTATGTAATTGCAAACAAACGATTTTAAATAAAATTGTAGGAAATTTTTTTAGGGGGTGCTTACATTGTTCATTTTATACCATTCGACAGCCGACTTCAGCAGCTCAGATGCGGCGCGTTTATTATCAGTGCCCAAGTAGAGTGTTACTAACGCAGATATAATACCTGGTTTATACATTTTCTCGCCAAGTGAAAGCAGAATATCAATCGCCTCTTTGCGGCTGCCTTGAGACAGCAAAAGTTGCACAATGGCAAATTTTGATGCAAAGGCATTTTCTTTATGTGCAGCCGCGTACTTATTCAACAAGTCCACTGCTTCTTTCTGTCGCTTATCCTTGGTGAGTTGAGAGCAACGTATAAGTAGAGTTTGGAATTCCAAATCAGGATAAGTTTCCACTAACTTCTGGCATAATTGCTGTACTTGGTCACTGGAGTTTGTAAAAAATGCAAGCAAACAATTGTTCAATGCAATTGCTTTCTTTTGACGACTAGTCAACTTCGATTCGCATGCTTCTGACATAGCCGAGCGTATTTTCTTTTTAGAGTCAAACACGTTCTGATCCTTATTGATGACCACCGAATTATTGCTGGCCACAGCAACTAAAACTGGATCTTTGGGCTTAAAGCGCAAACATTCCGCATATATGGCTGCCGCTTCCTTTAATTTCCCCTGCATTTGCAAGCAATAACCCAACTGCACACGTATCGGTTCTAATTCTTCGCGCATTTCCTCCTCAGTCACGCCATCCTCTTCCAAAGTTTCACGACAAAGTTTTTCGCTGGCACGCAATTTTTTCTCAGCCTCGGCATACCGCTGGCGATTCGAAGCTATGCAAGCGGCGTTATAGTACTGCTCATATGTTTCTTCCGGCAGCTCGGGTATTTCCTTATTCTAGAAATAACAAAAATACTTTACATTTCAGTGGACCAGGAAAAATTCGTTCGAACCGTTTTCTATACCTTATCTACTGCCAAGTTAGCGGCAACAGCACTCAAATTTGTGCGCCTTTCATTTTCATAATCATCATTGGTATTTTTGATTATTTCCCTGTAAGCATCAAAGCACTCCTCATACCTTTCCAGCCGATATAGCACTTGTGTGCGCAACTCTTTCAAGCTCACCGGCAATGGATTAATATCAGCATTATCAATAGTTTTCAATGCTTGTTCGGGCTTGTTCAAGCGATACTCGCAGTAGGCCTTTTCCAGCACTAGAGTGGCGGCAAGTTTATTCTTTTCTATGAATTTGTATGCCTCCTCGAACTTTGAAAGTTGTATCAGGCAAACAACTTTGCAATGCAAAGCTGTCTGATCATCCGGCGCAACGCCCAAAACTATGGATAAAGTAAAAAAAATTAATGGTATCCGACTGATTCTACGAGAGGCGTTCCCGGGGGAGGACCAAACACAACAACTACTACATACCTCTATTCACCGCCTTGACTGCCTTTTCGTATTCGCCATTTTGACCAAATTTATTTACATCCGCATATGCAGCTTTTATGATAGCTTCCTTTTGGTTCGGATCCTTGGACATTTTCACTAATTTTCCACGATTTTTCTTTTATTTTTGAGGCATTCAGATTCAGACGAAAAACGAAATCAACACGAGTGCAAAAAATTTGTCTAATCTGAAATTGACAATTATTTGACACCTCAGCAAATTGGAAATTTGACAACAAGTGACACCACAGGGGCACTAATGTGCAAAAAATAATGAAATTTAAAAAGAACCAAATGGGCGTGATTGATTAAGGGATATTTTATATAAAAAGAAGAAATACATAATAAATAACTAAAAGTGTTCTTACACAATATGTATTTCCACCTGTAAATGTGACTGTTTGATTAAAGCTGATGCCAAAGAACCGAAATCTATACCTTCTTTTTTGGCAACATTTTACAAATCGTCGCCTGGGTAAAATATTGTCGTAAACGTCATACGTACGTGCGTAACATACGACAATCTTTTACCCAGGCGACGAAATAAAAAAGGATGCAGTCAAATGCCCAGTCAACAAAACTCTATCCGCTTGCGAGAGAAAGAAGCAAACGCAAGCGAGATTTTCAAGCATGTGAAGACGGCCAGTAGCATCAATCAAACAATTGTAGTGCTGCCAGCTTGTGTGGTATTTCTTCGCATCATAGTGGCAGCATTAGTGCAAATCGGGCGTCTGGTATCACCAGCGATTATTTTACAAATTCTATTTTCCTTGTCTGATCAGAAGCAAAAGTTCGTAAAAAAGTGATGCGCAGTTGGGGTGAACACCTTTTTTGTGAAAATTTAATGTATTGCATTGAAATAATTATTAATTGTAATTTGCAAACCGAAAAATTAAGAAACAATTAGTGGGAAAGTTGAACCAGTAGCAAGAGCTCAACTGGAAAGTGGGTGGGATTGTGCAAAGGGGCCGACAGCGTTGTGCAGAGAAAAAATCGCATTTTTCATAAAGTGATTGTCACTAGCGTTGGCGTTAGCGACTACGGACAAATGCAAAACAAACGTGGAAATAAATAATAAAACAAAAGTTTCGCCAGTGCAACAGAATAAGTTATTCCATAGTAAGCTAAGCAAGTTTGTAAGCGGACATGCCGAACCGAAGACAATGTGGTTACATGGGATTGCTGATTTCACTTCTACTGGGAACATTGACCACAGGTAATATTTGCATGCGTGCATTGATTCCTCAGCATCCTGCTGGCCATTCGCCTCACCTCGTTAGCATCTACGCATTCATTCATAAATATGCTATAGAAAGCTAATGAGTTTTTCGTATTCAGCCATTGTTAATGGCCTGTAAATCGATATCCGCCCACTAATTGTTTCATTCCTTTAATAAATGTATGTACATATGTACATAGATATACTTAGGTATTGTAAGTTTATGCATATAATGTAATTTTTACTAATCACTATTCACTTTCCCGATTGCAGTGGCAGCTTATTATGTCGAAGTTAAGAGCACCGGTTCATCCGTCATTGGTGGCACGGTGAATTTCAGTGCTGTGTTATACGAAGATGGGCAAGTGGCGAGCAAAGGGGATTACCAGTTTAATTGGGAAGATAATACACCTGCCGCAAATCTTGTGGTAAGTAAAGAAAGCATATTGGTTTATGCAACGGATTTAGGAATACAGATATCCAGACCCATCTTATAGGAATTGTGTAGAAACGATCATTATGCAATCATTCCCCCGACTTATTAGATTGAGATCAACGCTCCGAAATTTGCCAGCGAAAGTCTTAGCTACAGAAGAATAACACTGAGATTATAAATCCTTGGCGTAATTAGCTTATGTACATACATATGTATGTATGTATCTACTTTGATTATTTCTTTGGCATGACTAATAACGAACTTTATTTGCTTGGTTGATATTTTTATCACTTTTAGACTCTTGCGAATATCGCAGAATAAATAGTTTTGAATGAATGCATATAACTTCATAGAAATGTGACGTATGTGCATACATACATACATATGTATTACATAGGGCGGTCCAAAAATTTATGTGAAAAAGTAGATAAAAGTCGGAATATGCTTTCACCGACGAAAGTTCTGTAGATACCAAAAAAATATACCCATATTTTTTTTATTTGGAAATCAAAAAATATTTAGAGGTCGCTCAAAGTGCTTAAAGCAAGCGAAGACTCGGATGTAGAATCTGGAAACATTAAAAAATGTGAATCTAAAGCTCAATTGAAGGCCTATCTTATAACCTATCAAATAAAGTTCAATAGGGCGGCTCTTGTAATTGCAGCACTTTTGAATGCACTATTCTTAAACTTGGTTTCAATCCGTGCAAAAATGAGCTGTGAGAAATTTGAATAGACTTTCAAAGTCCAAATTTGCTTGCCAACTGCTTTTTTGAATAAAAAAGCAAAGTCTCATAATCTGTGCATGCACATTTTTATTGAATTCATTCCAAACAAAGTTAAAAATATATGTTGGGGACTGCTTATCCACAAGTACCTTGAGAATCTACAATTATATTAAAATATACTAATTTCAAAGAACACTTTTATACTCTGACATGTAAACTTTAAGCAAACAACAAAACCGACTGGGACCACCTGTGAGGTAACACATTTCCTTTAAAAAAACAATTAAAGAAATCG